ATAGTGTAATCAAATGTCCTATCCTTTGGTGCGACAACGTGGGTGCTATATATCTTACTACAATCCAATTTTTCACAACAGAATGAAGCATGTTGAAACCACTTTTCACTTTGTCCATGATAAAGTTGCCAAAAAATCACTTGAAATTCGATACCTATCAACCAAGGATCATAACCGTTGTCTACTCCTCGATTTCATCTTCTTCATGACAAGCTCACCTCCTTAACGGGATGCTACACGTGCAGGGGTGTGTCAGAGATAAAGTTTAGGATTCCTTTTTCAAATCAATTTTCAAAAGTATATCACTGAGATGAGGATTAAATCCATGTCTCTTATCTGCTGCAATCCTTTTATATATATTGTACATCAATCCACCAAATAGATATGTGAGAAATATTTTGCATTTAAGTGTTTATCCTTAGTGTCCGTTAGTTTAGCAAGATTATTATAGAAAATGTAAGAAAGAATTTTTTTTTGAAATTTTCACGTATTTAGTTTGTAACACCCCATAATCCAGGTGTCCGTAATTATCCAGTTGATCACCCATCAACTCTCGAAATACACATGGATACCGTATAATTCGATACTACACTGTTATATCCCATTTACCGAAATTCATAACTTAATAAAATTTGAGTCGAGTCTCCTTTGTACAAAGAGTTCTACTCAAAATGTAACTTGTGCAATCATACAACAATGACCACACTGGGTCCATTCATCTATACTCAATTACATAGTATCGGATACTATCATAATCATCATCACTATGTACATTTACTCATAAAATAATAAATATCTCAAAATAGTCTCATGTACATATCTTTTAAATATAGACAAGTTTTTGTTACAAAAGTTATACAATGTCAAAAGTAAACATATATAAGGGACTGCAAAGTCAAAATAAGAGCCACAGATCAGCTTTGTCGTCAAAGTGGACCCATGGCCTCGCATTCGATAGACGTCTGTGCGATATCTAAAAATTATTCTCATAAAGAGTAAGTCAACGCTCAATAAGATAATTTTTATAGAAAATACATATCAACATAAATGCAAATGAAATGTCACATGCAACAATCATTTCATTCATACATTCAAATATGTCTATTATGAACAAATGTCATAAATTATGTCATGCTATGAGATGAGACTCACGCAAGCAATACCAACGCCGAGCCGCATCCTGAACTCTCATAACACATGTAATGTCATGCGTATGTATCCGGACATTCCAAGCCCCTGTCATTGGTGTTATGCATATTCAATGACTAATTAATTCATTTTCTTGTGTCTTTATGCAGGGTTGTTTTATGGTATTACACAAATGGGACACCACACCATTAACGGATTTTCAGGACATTTCACTTGTAGCTCCGTTTTGGCCGTTACACTTTTCTAGAATTTCACTGCCAAAAAATGTATAAATCAAGTAAGCGGGTCTTGCACCCGAGGAAAAATTTTATCCTTCTTGCTATCCCCGACACGTTTATCCATTTAATTTTTCGTGCAACTCAGTCGGACCTTGGTGCGACTTTTCGGAATCCACAATCAACCACCTATGTGGTGATTGATTTTATATCATGCATACACTGCCACCCATGTCAATGCCCATGAATGTAATGCAACTCATGCAGCGGTGGAGCCAGATATTCATCTTAGTGAGGGCAAAAATATGAGCGAAAATCTTAACCAACTTTTTGGACCTCCCTTAATAAGGACTGAATTGAGGATTATTTTCAAATGAAGAATTCTTATGCTAAAATAAAAGAAAAATATTAAGATCCAAGACTTAACTACTACATGAAAACTAAAAAAATCAAAATCAATCAGGACAGTATTGTGTTTGGTAAATATTTATGTGTTAGGGTATTTTACATCTATTTTATTCAATTCTTCTTAGATTAATTAAGGAAGGGAGTAAACACTGACCTATCAAAAAAATGAAAACAACTAAGGTACTATATAAATTTTCTACAAATTTATGGGGGCAAAATATGAACTTGTAAATTTATGAGAGGCAACTATAATGATATGTAGACTTGTCCTCAAAATTCAGTGAGGGCAATTGCCCTAGCCCTTTACACGTAACTCCGCCCCTGAACTCATGCATAATTCAATATAATGTACAATTGTTTTTGATATCATTTACAATATTAATTATCTAATGAATGTAATATAATGACATTTTCAACACAATCTCAAGCATGTTATGTAAGATAATTAACTCAACTAACATACTTGTATTTATCTAGACATTTAAACAAACACTTAAAAGACACATCAATTTACACAACTAGCATGTTTATTATTTCCAACAGGGCAACATGTTTATTAATTCTATAACATAAGTATAAGCCCACCATACTAATCATATGCTAAATAATAATTTAACATACATATTATTCCATAATCACATAACAAGCTAATAATTTTATTAAACTTTTATGTCATTAAAACATCAAGTCATGCTAATGTACAATTAACATACTTTAAATCAATAACATTAACTTATATCAAGTTAATTATAATAAAATTTTATTAATCACAAGGTTAATTATAAATTCTATTTGACTCACTAGTTACTAGGGATGGCAGTGAACTAGGAAAAAACGGGTATTCGTCCAAACTCATCCCGTTTGGACCGGGAATGGACTATACGTATTGAACGGTGAATATATATGGGAATACTCATATAAACCCATACGGGGATGGACTTACACTTACCCTCGCCCTGTCCCCGTTAAATATATATATATATAAACTCTCAATTCTTACCGTAACTTTCTGAACATTTTGTAATTCTAATTGTCAGTGGTAAGACTTGGCTAAAGTATGAGTTTTGATTCACTGCTGGTTAGTTTCGTGACTCAAAATTTCAATGTTTGTGCTTCCTTGATATCATCTTGTGATCCATTTCTTGTTCACAGTGAGGTATTATTTAAAATGTTAGATTTATTTAAAATTTTGAATTATGTTGACGTGAATTTAGGCTTAGACTTAGACTTAAGCTTGAACTTAAGCTTATGCTTGGGATTGGGCTTGGGCGGGTACGGGAAAATAGGGACGGGTACGAGAATTAGAAATTTATCTGCGGACGGGGATGGGGATAAAAATTATATCCGTTAACGAGGGTGGACGGGAGATTAATGAATGTTTTTTAAGCGGGTATAGGGATGAAGACTATACCCCCCGCTCCCGCTTCGGTCCATTGACATCCCTACTAATTACACTAATCAAGACCTAACATGTGATATACACTCTTGATCTACCCATTTTATATGTCATATTTTAAGTTAAAATAACATTTAAATAGGGGAAACCCTACCTCTCGTAGCATGAGTCCACGTATTAGAACTTCAAAAAAAGCCCGAATTTGATTTCCTAAGCCTTAGGCCTACATTATTATTTTTGAAGAAAAATATAATCTTTGGTGTGATTGCGTAGATCTCGCTGAGTAGATCAATTTTAATTCTTAGTTCGATACGATTGAAGGGTTCAATCTTCATAGATGAAGAAGAAATCTTATGTAGTTAATTATGTCTCAATGTAGGCGGAGTGAAGGAACTGAGTCAAGGTCTTTGGCGACAATTGATTAAAAGTAATGCTACATGGATTTAAAAATTAGACTTGATAATCTAAACCATTGATTTAAATGTGAGTTCCAGCATTTATAAGGACTCACTACCTATTCAATAGTTGAAATTATTAATTCTAATTTTTAAATCTAATTTTTAAGTCCATCTAGCATTACTCATTGGGTAAACCACCCCCCCCAAATTGTTGGCGAATAGTCCCTCAAAAAATACGATATCATTTTTCTGAGTAACCACTCCGATAGGTTTTCAAAAAAGGAATGAATTGAAATATACAATTTTTCGAATTTCAAACAAATGAGGAAAATGGACAATTGTATCCTGAATATGCGGTGTGTCGTTCCGATTTAAAGCGTCATGTTTACTGCAACAATTTCATGAACTTAATATTCGGATTTTTCGGCATTTGATATTTGGTTTCCAAAAAATGATTTTTACTTTTGTTTGTATATTTGAATGGCTTTTTAGTCCTTTTGCATGAAAAAGGACTTTTGCCTAAAATATTTTTGTTTGTACACTTTTATCTAAATTAGTCCCAATTTGCCAATATTTATATCGGGTTTTCAGTTCTCCCTTTGGGTACGTTTGGATGACAACAATATTATCGGGTTTCAATTACTATAGTAATCTTATATTCAGTGTTTGGTTATTATCAGTAATCTAATGTGAGAATTAATTTCATTCTCAAATTATTTTAAAAAATAATTTAATTTTAGAAAAGAGATTAATTTTAGTAGAAAAACTTAATTTTTGAAATGAAGTTCATTTTAGTATTTTAGGATTTTTATTCCTTGTATAAAATATTCAATCAATGTATGCACGAGATTACCACCATTCGTCATGGGTTTAGGATACCCACGATTATTAGGAATTAAATTACGATAGTAATTTTATTTCCGAGTTAGATTATTGAATAATTGACTCTCCAAACATGATAATTTAAGATTTAAGAATGAAAATTTATTTTCCAACCAAAATTATTGTCATGCCTTATTGTTGTGAAACACAACAAAACAGGCCCAACAATGGTCTGTTGAATGCACAGGTATGTGCTTGTGTGTAGCTTATCCAATATTAACTTTCCCAAAATAGAAAAAGATATCACAAGATATATATGTGTCCCAAGATATCCGTGATAAAGTTTGAGAAGGCAAACAAAGCAGCCAACAAATCAGGACAGTAGACTCTCCCTGTCTCCCATCTCAGTGGCCGACTTTACTTACGTATCCGCACAACTGAGAATGATGATTATTGGAGTTGATGCTAGAGTGGGTGTTGAGTAGACTTCGATTTATGTCTAATCAATCTCTTTGAGAACTACCGACTGTCTTTGATGAAAAGTATTTATATACTGACCAAAACAAACAAAAATTCAGTGCAAGGGCAGTAGGCACCTAAAGAACAGCAAGAATGGAGTATTCTCAAGATGATGGGCTTGACCAACCCAAATTACAGACCAAACCGGAGGAGATAAACTCCAAGCTCGAAGACGTACTATCCGACACAAGTTTATCGTACTTCCGGCGTCTCCGGGGTGCAGGGAGCTTAGAACTGGATACCCTCTTCCGCCTTGCAGCTCCGGCAGTCATTGTTTACTTGCTCAACAGTGTTACCTCCTTGTCCACCCAGATGTTCTGTGGCCATCTCGGCAATCTTGAACTTGCCGCTGCATCTCTTGGCAACAATGGTGTCCAAACTTTTGCCTATGGCGTCTTGGTATTAACCAATATCAAAATAGTTGTTAGTAATTATAAGTGTGCGTACTTAAGTAGATATACAAATATTTGTTAGCATATACCAATAGTTGCATGCTCTATACATAATCTAGGGAGAGGTCTAAATTCTCTTTTTTCATTTCAACAGCTCGTGTACATCCCACGTCAGTTGAATTTGAACTAGAATGAAACTACTTTTCATAATTAGTAGATCGGAAGTGGATATAGATGTGTTAAAATATGATACGATACATTAATATGACACATAAATCTGAATTTTCTTTAAATCACCAGTTTAATATGAGTAGAGTTAACACGACATAATTAATAAACAAATTAGTTATGGATCAATTGAAACGGAAGAGATACACGACACAAGATTTATTTATATATTAATTATACACGACACAAAATAAATAAAATACGATTCGTTAAATATAAATTAATAAAAGAATCGAGTATGAATATAATATTTTTTGACACAAAATCACTAAGACTCGACTTCAACTTGCCCTCACCCAACACAATTGACAAGCTTAAGTGAGTCTATTATCCTGCTCATTATGTTTCTCCTAGAATCAAGGATTTGATTACGGGACTGTCAAAAAAAAATCGGTGCCATACTTCTAAAATTTTTTATTTTAAAGGGTATTTTTCAATTATGTAGGTCATTTTACAACCAAAAAATTTATCACTTTTGTGATTGATTTACTAGTGTTTTTACTATTTTGGGGAGTATTTTTATTACTGTTGTGAGTGTTTTTATCATATTTGTAATAACATTTTTATCACTTTTGTAGGTATAAAAAAAAAAATTACTACATTTGTGGTACTTTTACAACATTGTGAGTCTTTTTTATCACTGTTGTGGTTAATTTTTATTACTGATGTGGTAATTATTTTTATCATTTTTTAAAGTACCACAACAATAATAAAAATATTCTTAAATATAATAAAAATATCCACAGAAAGTTTTGAAGTGTCTATCTGTCTCTTGTCGTTATTCCTTTCAACAACTAAACAGAAAAGTGGAAAGAGAGAGAAGATATGATTTTGAGTAAATTATACAAGTAATTTTTAAATTTTAACATTTATATCAATTAAGTTTCTAAATTTATTTATTTTTGTGATAATTAAGTTTTTGATCTCTCTAATTGTATTAATTGAGTCATTCTTTTAGAAACTTAATTGACACAATCTAATGGGGGCAAACAGAAAGACTCAATTGATATAATTAGAGAGTTCATGGACTCAATTAACATAAAAAAAAATTAAGAGCTTAATTGACACAAGAATCATAATTTAAGGGTTATATATGTAATTTACTCTAACTATTTATGTCGTGACACATTTTGTCACTTTCTGTTAGAAAATCCAACGAAAACAGACAGAAGAGTTCAATTAACACAATTAGAGAGTTCAATGACTCAATTGACATACACAAAAAAAATTTCAAAGACTTAATTGATAGAAACGTCATTGTTTGAAGAACATGTGCAGTTTACTCTATAATTTTATCACCTTTTGAATCTTGGTCCTAATGATATATCAGTTGAAGTAGATTATTCATTTTAATCAATCAAAACCCTTTATGAAATTGCAGATAAACTTGCACATATAGATTCATATTTAATGAGCACAACCACAAACAATCATAACTGATGTCACTATGATGGGTTCTACTTGCAGCTTGGAATGGGAAGTGCAGTTGAGACCTTGTGTGGCCAAGCATATGGAGCACATAAATATGAAATGCTAGGGATATATCTTCAAAGATCAACAATCCTCCTTATGACAACTGGTTTAATTCTTATGATCCTCTACATATTCTCCAAGCCCTTCATGATCTTACTAGGCCAATCACCTTCAATCGCCTCGGCCGCAGCATTGTTCATGTATGGTCTCATCCCACAAATATTTGCATATGCAGCCAATTTCCCAATACAAAAATTCCTTCAAGCACAGAGTATTGTGAACCCCAGTGCCTATATTGCAACAGCAACGTTGGTTGTACATATTTTATTGACATGGATAGTGTTGTTCCGATTAGGATGGGGGTTGTTGGGAGGTGCACTGGTATTGAGCTTATCATGGTGGATCTTAGTGGTGGCACAGTTTGTGTACATTTTGGTTAGTGATCGGTGCAAGCATACTTGGAAGGGATTTAATATCCTTGCATTTTCTGGACTGTGGGCTTTCTTAAAGTTATCCGCTGCCTCAGCTGTAATGTTGTGCCTGGAAGGTTGGTACTATCAAATATTAGTTTTGATTTCTGGGTTGCTTCCAAATCCTGAAGTGGCACTCGCTTCTCTCGCAATTTGGTATGAAATTTTTTTTCTCTTTGACTAAACAGTGTGTGATATAATAATGTTATACTTATCCGATGGTAGATACTCCATTTATTTTTTCATTGGGATCGAAACTCTATTGTATGATATCATGTTGCGCTCTTTTTTTCATAGCACTTGTCCTCTTAATTATTTCTATGGTGAAATCCACAAAAACATATCTTCCCATGAAAGTACATAACTATTTTTTCGGTTACTCTTAATTCGAAATTATCTATAATTCTTTAAAATTGTGCCCCATATTTGGATTTTTTTTTTTTTTTCAAATTGCGTCTTGATTGAAAATTAGTTACAATTAGAAATTACAATTTGCTGTTTTTGTATTTTAAATTGATTGAATTTTTTGGTTTGTTCTATACTTATATTTGTTTTCTACTACAATTTTGCCTTTAATATCTTCTTGATAAGATTAAGGAGAAATTGTAAACTAAAAAAAATATCCATGACCCCCACCACTTTATAATTTGTTTCTGTTTGAGAAATAAAATAATATGCACCCTTTATTCCTTTGAAAAGTTGGAAGTGAGTGTATTTTGTAGAGGACATAAAAGTAATTCATTCCTTGAAATCATGAGGCTTCAACTTTTCCTTCTACTTTCCGCCCGAATTCGGGCGGATAAAAAATTGATGAGTGGCGCTGATTTAGTTTCCACTCATTTTTATTTCTCTCCTCTTTTTCCTTTTATACCAAATAGGGCAAAATCTCATTTTTCATCCCATTTTCCATCCATTCATCCATTTTTCTTCATACCAAACACACTGTAAATAATGCCTGTGCCTAACACAACAAAATTGCCGACGTAAAAAACAAAAAAAAATGGGTGGCAATTGAACAAATTCTAATGAACAAAATAACAAATGGGTGGTAAGCAAAAGTAGCTTGAAGTACAGCACCTATGCATGTGTGTTTTCCTTGTGACACCCACGTCAATTTGATAGTGTATGTCTATGTGTGTTTTTTTCGTCTCAAGTGCACCTGCGTATGTGTTTTCTTTTCATTCTTATTATTTGATAATGAAATGAAACGAATTTGGATTAGAGGTAACACTAAACCCAGGTTGTTACTTGAAAATTTTGATTGTTTTAACAGCCAAACAATACTTGGATGGGTGTTCATGATATCTACGGGGTTCAATGCTGCGGCAAGGTCAGTATGAAGCCATTATTCAACCTTTTCCTCCCCTTAAGATCCGCTCGCCTTATATTCAATAGTGAGTAGGGGTGTCAATTCGTGTCGTGTCGCATTAATCGCATGTTAGGTCATTATTATTCATGTAACAGTCGTGTCAAGACCCATAAAAAAAATTATTTAGTATGTTGTGAGTATTAAATATTAGTGTATATTATTTATTATATATATTTAATAATCGTGTCAATTTTATAATCGTATCGTGTTGTGTCGAGTTCGTATCAACGGATTAGAGTTGACATCCCTAGTAGTGAGTAGTGCATTTAAGAATAATAGGAAAAGTTGAATAAAAATCCATTATGTGGATCCACATATTCTCGAATACTTTTTCTCATCGTAGATCAGCATCTTGTATTAGTGAAGATTTCTACATATAATAAGTTTCACTTAAATTCACGACAAGTGATCAAGAAGAAGATAAAAGAAAACATATTAAAGTAGATCTCACTCTTTTTTTTTTTTCTTACTGCATTAGAAATAAGAGTACTGAAAGTTTATGATAGTGCATGTCTTGAACTATATTATGCATCCCGAATAGTTTATCTCGCATAGATTAATATCAAAATTTATGTGACAACAGTGTAAGGGTCAGCAATGAGCTCGGTGCAGGGCATCCAAAATCAGCTGCATTTTCTGTTGTTATGGTAACTTCGAGCTCTTTGATCATCGCAGCGATTTGTGCCGCGGCGGTGCTTGCCTTGCGCCATGTAATGAGTTACGCCTTCACTGGTGGTGTAACTGTTGCCAAGGCAGTCTCAGAACTTACCCCTCTGTTGGCTATCTCTATTCTGCTAAATGGCATTCAACCTGTTCTATCTGGTAAATTTCTTCCTGCTTTGATAAAAGTACATATGATCACTTCTTTTCCTTTCTAACCAAACTAAAATATTGCATCGGAAATTAAGTTTTCAATGAGCTTGATTTAGTATCGATCCTTTTGTTTGTATGAAGAGTAAAGAAAGGGTGTAACAAAGCCCACCCTTCTCGACTCAGTCGCATGCAACCACGCAAAAAACTTGGGATCGATCCGATTTTGTAAGATCTGGTGAATTATAACATAGTCTTATGTGATCCTGACCATAGTATTTTTGTCAATATGGTTCAAATAAGTACTATATGTTTTTCAACTTTTGATCCAAATCTGAGTTAGGAGTGACTTCATGGGAAATCTTAAAACCAAAAATGAAGAAAAATCTTAAAACATTTCACAATTACTGGATCAATTAAATAAAGATTCACATTACAACACACGTATTAAAAGGGAGAATATAGTGCACGCGACTTCCGCCAAATGTACACAACTTTTTACCCGTACAAGTAGAAAGATTATTTCTGTGACGCAAACTCGTGACATTCAGATCATAATAGAGCAACATTACCAATGCATACTCAAGAAATTTATAAAAACTCATTTTTCTACTTAAATTAAAACTCAAATACCAAGTCTCTATGGCCTATGACCATGAACAATTGTATCTTTTCCCTTAAATAATCTCTATTGAAACCTTTTCCTCTCCCAAACAAAAACAAAGTTTATCTCTCCGGAACAAATATCTGGTTCTTCCTCTCTATAAAACATAGACCAACCAAACACATAATCACTAACTAAAAGTTTCATAAACTTACCCAAAAAACCAAATAATCACTCGAATTTCAATAGAAAAGAGGATATGTAATTATCATTTTCATAGACTAAAAGATGGGGTCTTCCTAAGCTTCTTTGTCTATGTACCGACTAAACCAATAACTATTCATAATTTCATAATTGAATCAATTTCATACTGGTTTTAAATTAGAGGAATGTGTCGTGGTAAAACTTTATTTGAAACGATGTGGTAGATATAGTTATAGATATAGGCCCATAACTAAATCAATTCCCTCATTCTTTGATTTGGTTTTGTTAGGCATTTCAACATATAGTTGATGTGCATCATCAATGAAATAGGTGGGGACTGTAGTTGGCTGTTTGGCCGTGATAGTGACGACGAACGCTGGGGCTGTAGTGGTGTCTGTGGGGATTGGATCAATGATGGACAGTGGGTAGTGGGTTAAGAAACTCCGACGAATATGATAAAAAAATGATATAATTCATGAAAATGCAACATAAAATAGTGTCTGCGGAGAGAGAACCCAAACTTTAGACTGCATGAAATTGTAATGGAAGAACATTTTTTTTTTGACAGGTCAATTTAGAAAGTGCACAGATTAAAACGTTTGATTGACGATTACACATAATAAGAAAAAAAAAGTTTGATTGTGCTTTATTGCTTTTAGAAAAATGACTAAAGTGAGAACTTTTTGATCTTGGAAATTGTAATGGAAGAACACTATTGTTCAGACAGATCAATTTAGAGAGTGAACAGATTCAAATGTCTGACTGACGATTGCACAGAATAAGGAAAAAAAAGTTTGATTGTGCTTTACTGCTTTTAGAAAAGTGACAAAAATGAGAACTTTTTTATCCTAGAAATTATAATGGAAGAACACTATTGTTCAGACAGATCAATTTAGAGAGTGAACAGATTCAAATGTCTGACTGACGATTGCACAGAATAAGAATAAAAAAGTTTGATTGTGCTTTACTGCTTTTAGAAAAGTGACAAAAGTGAGAACTTTTTTATCCTAGAAATTATAATGGAAGAACACTATCGTTTTGACAGGTCAGACAGTGAACAGATTAAAACATTTGACTGAGAATTACTCTAAGAGAACAAAAATGTTTGATTATGCTTTACCGCTTTTAGAATCTAAAATGACTAAAGTGAGAACTTTTTGATATAAAGTTTGAATTCAAGTGATGTTAAGGGTGAAACGCCAATAATTTTATCTTTTAAAAGGTCCCGTCATGTCTATTAAAGCACCATCGTACCCACCTAACCAATCACATACGCACGCACAGAGGGAAGTGAACAGCATTAGAAAAGTAGAATAGGACCAGCACAATTATCACTAGTTGGGTGTCAATCATATTTTATTGGAATTTGGTGATTGATTGTTACATTAGTTTAATTAAATTTGTTCTCAAAATAAGTAATGAGCACGATTAAGAGTATTATAAGTGTGGGTGAGGATCTATGATTTGTGGGCGCTCTTTTTTATTTATGTTGCATCTCTTCGACAAATAGAAGAGTATTTATGTCACTTAAGTTCGTGAGTTTGAATAAAATCAAAGGTAATTTTGGGTGTATGAATCGGTTTCTCAACTCATATATCAGTTAAATCAAAACTTAAGTTTTGGTTGAGATTCGAACATATACCAGAAACTAGGATACAATTTATCCAGTAACTGAGATTCGTCCTACCAATCAACTACACTTTTATCGCGTTAGCAGACTTGAACTTTAGGTCTCGAAAAAGTAAAAATTTTAAAAAACAAAGGATACCATTTGGCGAAAAGCCAGTTGGTTTTCCAATCACTCATGCATAGTGTTATGGGTTTAATTATAGTATTTAAAAATTATTTTTTGATTGCTCACTTCTTTTTTTTTTTTTGATTTATTAAAAAGCCAATGATAAAATCTTCTTATTTATTTTTTTTAATTAATCAATAGATATAAATAAATCCAAATAAAATATTTGGTTAGAATTCATTTTCTACCATGACGTACAGCCATGTGCGAGTCCTATCTCTCTCTCTCTCTCTCTCTCACTCTCCAATATTATGATTTAGATTATGACTAGGATTACATGTGTAATATGATAGGGAAATATTTGATTATGACTATGATTACATGTCTAATATGTCTGGAAAATGATGATTGAAGGGGTGGCTGTTGGGTGTGGATGGCAAACATTTGTTGCATACGTAAACGTTGGATGTTATTACGTAATTGGTATTCCATTAGGTTCTCTGCTTGGATTTAAATTCAACCTCGGTGTTAAGGTAACAAAATTTTCCCCTAACTATTTGAGTGGACACCCACCCAAACCTATTGCTTCTGTTTTTAGTCTTTAGCACATTAGCATATGTTTCATCAGATATAACCCACCTATTGAAATTTACACATAAGGACATCTTTATGAATTTTCCATCGTTTTGTTTTAGGGAATATGGTCCGGAATGTTAGGAGGCACAGCTATGCAGACCATCATCTTACTGTGGACTACTTTTCGGACGGATTGGGATAAAGAGGTGAATATTCCTGAATAATGATCGGAATACTATAATTTTTTTCAAATATTATTTACCAAACGAACATAAGTGATTGGATGAGTGGATTCTAGAAAAATAGTTGGACCCACTGATACAACAAACTATGTTGATTTAAGAGTAGTATTGTTCAGTTTCATAGATACTTTGAAAATAATGCTCTAGTTCTACTAACCATGGGCTTGGGAAACTTGTGAATGAAAAAAGTCCCTATGAATGCTGTATTCTTATTGTCCTCTTAACAATGAATGGAGAATAATGCAGAAATGGACCTAGCCAGTTGCACGCTTTCTGTCTTTTCGACTGATCAATCCAAGATTTCCGTATACTAGGCATTTAATTAGTACATTGCACAATGATCCACACACATTGTCTTATCTCTTAGGGTACGGTACAATTCACAAGCACACAATTTTTGGGATATGTTACGACTATTTGACCAGGTTATACTATAGACTCATAAACTCCCCCATCTCTTAGAATTTGTTTGGATAAATTTTTGCAAAGGAATTTGATTGATTTTTTCAAACTCTTTTAAATCAAAACTCCTCTTTATAAAAATAAGATTCAACATTTAATTCAGTTCATATTTATATTTGGTATGTAACACACATATATATAGGACTCACGAATATATCATAATTATTAACAACTATTTATCTTGTAAATAATTATTTTATTCTTGATCAATCAAATTCATACACATATTAAAAGATATAATTGTCTTTTATATCCTTATCCACCCCTCCTCTAGGTTTGACGAAACTCATGATTATGAGTTTAATCTTTGAGCCAACTACGGGCTGAGTTGGAAACCCGAGACTACACTTTCAATTTAAACATGGAATTTGAAAGTTCTTTGAATTATTTTTTTCAAACCCATATTATTAAACCCCCCGTACTCTATTACCAAACAGCCTCTTAGGAATTTGATTGCGAAGTCAAAACAATTTTGATACCATATATCTAAAATTTACTACTTCAAAAGGTGTTTTCACAATTTTGTTGGTCATTTTACAACAAAAAAATTTACAATTTTTGTGATTGATTTACCACTGTTGTAGGTGTTTTCATCACATTTGTGGTAATAATTTTTGTCACTTCTTTTAAGTACAAACAAAATTACTACACTTGTGAGAACTTTTACCACATTTATGGGTCTTTTTATTATTGATATGGGTGTTTTTATCACATTTTTAGATACCACAACAGTTACAAAAATAACAACAAATGTAATAAAAATGCCTACAAACATAATAAATCTCGGTACAATAGTCATATTCATCTCTTAGATACAAATCTAGTAACGATCGTAACAATTCTCTCTTAACTTTATTGACCCCGATTGGTCATAAACATTATAAGATATTGCCCTTTACACAATCCTAGTATGCCCTAGTTAGTAGTAAATATAGAGTGCAATAGTTACACCACGTCAAGTCAGCACAACCATCTCCATCTCTGTTTGTGTTTCCTTTCATATTTTACTTTTTCCAAGCAAAAAGAGGTGTCCTTGTGGTACTCATTATGGGTACTTATATGCATCATACTTGTGAAATATTTGAATTTGCAGGTGGTGAATGCCAAGGAACGGTTGCAAAATTGGGAAGACAAGAAAAAGGAGCCTGTGTTGAACGAGTGAAAGACAGTGATTGCAGGGTTAGCTACTCAGTTTGGGAGAGATCGTCACGAAGTAACAGGCAAAATTTGGTTCTTATATTGCTAGTTAGCCAAATTGGTGAGACGTTACCGTGGTTGGGGAGCAAAAGATGTTGTAAATTAGTCAATAATCTGTGCAAACTTATACCAGTATCATTGCAGTTGATCTGGTTTTTTCGGAGTCGTGTTGTATGTTGTCACAAAACTATCAAAATCTAAATTAGTCTACTCACATGTCGTCTTGCTTGTCACTTTCATCCAAGTCTCCAGTGTCCTCTGGTTGTTGGGGCGATGTCTTAGATCTCATTATATGCTTGCATATCCTGAAATATACAGCATTAAACCCCATTAAGCTCATACAAGGGAAAAACAAACATGTAGTAAAAAAGGAAGAAGGGGGGGAAGCAACAATGCAAATGCAGATCAAGCAAACAGAAAATGACTCCAAATCTCTAGAATCCTCTTTATTCGCCATGTTCAACCTTGTGCAGCACATCTAAATTACTTTTCCTAATATGCATGGTATCAGCTAAATTAACCGAACTTGCTGAAGTAGTTTAAACAATGAAAGACCCTTTAAATGACATGAAGAGATGGTTTATCAAACCAAATGAATGACAAACATAAGAAACAATGAATGAAAAAAGTCCCTATGAATGTTGTATTCTTATTGTCCTCTTAACAATGAATGGAGAATAATGCAGAAATGGAACTAGCCAGTTGCACGCTTTCTGTCTTTCCGACTGATCTATCCAAGATTTCTGTATACTAGGCATTTAATTAGTACATTGCACAATGATCCACACACATTGTCTTATCTCTTAGGGTACGGTACAATTCACAAGCACACATTTTTTGTGATATGTTACGACTATTTGACCAGGTTATACTATAGACTCATAAACTCCCCCATCTCTTAGAATTTGTTTGGATAAATTTTTGAAAAGGAATTTGATTGATTTTTTCAAACTCTTTTAAATTAAAACCCCTTTTTATAAAAATGAGATTCAACATTCAATCCAGTTCATATTCATATTTGGTATGTAACACACATATATATAAGATTTACGAATATATCATAATTTTTAATAAATATTTATCTTGTAAATAACTATTTTATCATTGATCAATCTAATTCATACTCATGTTAAAAGATACAATTGTCTTTTACATCCTTATCCACCCCTCCTTTAGGTTTGACGAAACTCATGATTATGAGTTTAATCTTCGAGTCAGCTACGGGCCGAGTTTGAAAACCCGAGACTACACTTTCAATCCAAACATGGAATTTGAAAGTTCTTTGGATTATTTTTTTCAAACTCATATTATCAAACCCCCCCCCCCCCCCGGTACTCTATTAACAAACAACCCCTTAGGAATTTGATTGAGCAGTCAAAAAAATTTTGATATCATATCTCTAAAATTTACTACTTCAAAAAGTGTTTTCACAATTTTTGTTAGTCATTTTATAACAAAAAAATTTACAATTTTTGTGATTGATTTACCACTGTTATAGGTGTTTTTATCACATTTTTTGTAACAATTTTTGTCACTTCTTTTAAGTACAAACAAAATTACTACACTTGTGAGAACTTTTACCACATTTATGGGTCTTTTTATTATTGATATGGGTGTTTTTATCACATTTTTAGATACCACAATAGTTACAAAAATAACAAAAAAATGTAATAAAAATGCCTACAAACATAATAAATCTCGGTACAATAGTCAAATTCATCTCTTAGATACAAATCTAGTAACAATCGTAACAATTCTCTCTTAACTTTATTGACCCCGATTGGTCATAAACATTATAAGATATTGCCCTTTGCACAATCCTAGTATGCCCTAGTTAGTAGTAAATATAGAGTGCAATAGTTACACCACGTCAAGTCAGCACAATCATCTCCATCTCTGTTTGTGTTTCCTTTCATATTTTACTTTTTCCAAGCAAAAAGAGGTGTCCTTGTGGTACTCATTATGGGTACTTATATGCATCATACTTGTGAAATATTTGAATTTGCAGGTGGTGAATGCCAAGGAACGGTTGCAAAATTGGGAAGACAAGAAAAAGGAGCCTGTGTTGAACGAGTGAAAGACAGTGATTGCATGGTTAGCTACTCAGTTTGGGAGAGATCGTCACAAAGTAACAGGCAAAATTTGGTTCTTATATTGCTAGTCAGCCAAATTGGTGAGACGTTACCGTGGTTGAGGAGCAAAAGATGTTGTAAATTAGTTAATAATCTGTGCAAACTTATACCAGTATCATTGCAGTTGATCTGGTTTTTTCAGAGTCATGTTGTATGGTGTCACAAAACTATCAAAATCTAAATCAGTCTACTCACATGTCGTCTTGCTTGTCACTTTCATCCAAGTCTCCAGCGTCCTCTGGTTGTTGGGGCGATGTCTTAGATCTCATCATATGCTTGCATATCCTGAAGTATACAGCATTAAACCCCATTAAGCTCATACAAGGGAAAAACAAACATGTAGTAAAAAAGAAGAAGGGGGGAAGCAACAATGCAAATGCAGATCAAGCAAACAGAAAATGACTCCAAATCTCTAGAATCCTCTTTATTCGCCTTGTTCAACCTTGTGCAGCACATCTAAATTACTTTTCCTAATATGCATGTGTTAAAGTATGTGTGGCTCATATTTGCTGTGTGCACAATGGCAATGAGGCAGATGCTGGAGCGGAGCCCGCAACGACATTTGCCTTGCAGGATTTGTATAAAGGGGACGCTGATTAGTTGGGGGTACGGTACAGGGGTATTTTTATAAATACGTCCGTATTAGAGTTATATGAATACTTAAGATGTAACCTTACTTTTAATAATGAAAAAGAATGGCCGCTCGCTCTCGTGGATGTAGGCACATTACCGAACCACGTAAATCTCTGTGTGTTATTTTCTCTTGCTTTCTTAATTGTTTGATTCCTTATTATTCACCATAATTGCTACACGATCACAACAACTGGTATCAGAGCTAGACTACGATGTCTAGGATTTCCTCTACAAAATTTGACATCATGAAGTTCGACGGAACTGGAAATTTCGAATTATGGCAGAGGAGGGTGAAGGACCTGTTAGTGCAGCAGGGCATGGTGAAGGCGTTATACGGAAAACAACCAGCAGGAATGGACGACATAGATTGGAAAGAATTGGAAGCGAAGGCTGAGGCAACTATTAGGCTTTGTCTGGCTGATGAAGTGATGTATCACGTCATGGATGAGGAATCACCGACGAAAGTTTGGTTGAAACTGGAAAGTCGGTATATGTCCAAGTCGTTGACGAACAAGCCCTATCTTAAGCAGAAACTATATGGTCTTAAGATGTCAGAGGACTCGAATTTGACCCAACACATCAATGTGTTCAATCAGATCATCAGCGATCTGAAGCGAGTTGATGTGAAGTTTGAAGACGAAAACAAGGCGCTAATGTTGCTGAATTCCCTACCAGTGTCTCCTACGTACGAGAATTTGGTTACGACTCTGATGTGGGGGAAAGAAACCCTCAAGTTGGAGGATGTCACAGGAGCTCTATTAGGTTTTCATCAGCGGAAGAAAGCTAGTGATGAGGCTTCACAAGGTGAAGGGCTTGTGGTGAAAGGTAACTAGGAACGTGGAAGAAGCAAATCTCGGAATGGATCGGATAATAATAAAGCCCGTTCCAAGTCGAGGAAGAAGAAGAAGAACGTCTCTGTATCGTGTTACAAGTGCGGGAAAAAGGGGCACTTTAAACGGGATTGTCCAGAGAAAAAAGAAAGGGGATTCAGAGGACAAAGAGGGTGCATCAAAGTCTGCAAACGTAGTGGAAGAAAAAGATTCAGAGAGTGGTGATGGTGATATGCTTTCTATTTTATCTAGTTTAGATCGTTTAACAGATTCTTGGATTATGAATTTAGCATGTTCCTATCACATGACACCCAACAAAAATTGGTTTGACACCTACAGGTCAGTAAATTTTGGTTCTGTTCTGATGGGTAATGATGCATCTTGCAAAGTTGTTGGAATAGGAAATATTAGAATTAAGATGTTTGATGGTATGGTTAGAACGTTGTGTGATGTTAGACATGTACTGAATCTAAGGAAGAATTTGATTTTATTGGGCACTTTGGATTGTAATGGTTATAGTTACAAATCTATAAGTGGAGTAATGAAAGTGAGTAAAGGCATGCTGACAGTGATGAAGGGACAGAAAGTAGCAGGAAACATTTACAGACTGCTGGGTACTACAATTGTAGGTGGAGTTGCTGCTATAGAGTCTGAATCAGATAATACAGTCTTGTGGCATATGCGGCTGGGTCATATGAGTGAGCGTGGGATGATAGAGCTTCATAAGAAAAATCTATTGAAGGGTGTCAAGACATGCAAGCTCAATTTTTGCAAATATTGTATTCTTGGAAAACAGAATAGGGTGCAGTTCAAAACAGCCACACACAAGACAGAGGGGGTTCTCGACTATGTCCATACAGATATTTGGGGACCAGTTAGCGTAGTATCACGGGGAGGATACATGTATTTCGTGAGTTTCATTGATGATTACTCACGAAAGGTCTGGGTGTACTTCATGCGGCACAAGTCTGAAGCGTTTGCCAAGTTGAAGCTGTGGAAAGCTAAAGTAGAGAACCAGACAGGGAGGAAGATTAAATGCCTCAGGTCAGATAATGGTACTGAGTACACAGATTCAAAGTTCTAGGAGTTGTGTGAGCAGCATGGGATCAAGAGATACTTCACAGTCCACAAGACACCACAACAAAATGGTGTAGTGGAAAGGATAAACAGAACGATAGCCGAGAAAGCTCGGTGTCTCAGGTTGAATGCAGAGCTTGCAAAGAATTTCTGGACAAAGGCAGTGAATATGACATGTTTCTTGATTAACAGATCACCGAGGAAAGCACTAGATGGGAAAGTATCAGAGGAGGTGTGGACAGGCAGTGAGGTAGACTACTCTGGTTTGAGAGTGTTTGGATGTCCAGCCTATGTACATGTTTCTAGTGAGGAGAGGTCGAAGCTTGATGCGAAGTCTAGACAGTGTATCTTTCTGGGATATCAGAAAGGAGTAAAAGGCTTCAAGCTCTGGGATCCGAAGGCAAACAAGATCGTGATCAGTAGAGATGTGGTTTTTGATGAAAAAGCCATATTGCAGCGTACTCAGGAAGAAGAGAAACAAGTACCAGAAAACTGTAGCACTAATGAGCATGTGGTGCAGTTGGAGCTAGAAAATCATGGTAGAGAAGAGGATGCTCAGCATGTAGAGCGTTCTATCTCAGGTGATCAGCAGCATCATAGTATAGCCATAGACAGGCCCAAACGCAATATCAAGCCACCTACCAGGTATGGTTTTGAAGATTTGGTTTCTTATGCGCTTATTACTAGTAGCGGGGATCCTACAACTTTTCAGGAGGCAGTACAAAGCCAAGAGAAAAGTAGATGGATGGGTGCTATGGTGTAGGAGATGGAGTCTCTGCATGAGAACCAGACGTGGGAGTTGGTGGAGCTTCCCGAGGGGAAGAGAGCAATAGGGTGCAAATGGGTGTATAAGAAGAAAGAAGCAGTATCAGAAAAGGAGGGAGAAAAATTCAAGGCTCGTCTAGTAGCAAAGAGTTACTCACAGAGAAAAGGGGTTGACTATGATGAGATCTTCTCCCCCGTGGTCAGACACACTTCCATCAGGACAGTGTTGGCACTAGTAGCACATTCAGATATGCAGTTGGAGCAGATGGATGTAAAGACAGCTTTCCTTCATGGCGACTTGAAGGAACGGATTTACATGGTACAACTAGAAGGGTTCAGTCTCCCTGGAGAGGAACATTTGGTCTGTAATTTAAAGAAATCACTTTATGGGCTGAAGCAGTCTCCGAGGCAGTGGTACAAGCAATTTGACTCTTACATGATCCGAATACAAAAGGTGTGAGTATGATTGTTGTGTCTATGTAAAAAGGTTTGATGATGATTCATTTATTTTTCTGTTACTTTATATGGATGATATGTTGATTGCTGCCAAGAGTATGAGTGAGGTCAACAAGTTGAAGATTTTGTTGAGTAGAGAATTTGACATGAAGGATTTGGGTGCGGCCAAGAAGATTCTTGGGATGGAGATTCACAGGGATTGAGCTTCCAGGAGATTATGGCTATCTCAGCATAGCTATGTTGAGAAGGTGTTGGACAGGTTCAGCATGAGTTATGCAAAACCAGTAAGTATACTTTTGGCGAATCATTTCAGATTGTCTACCACTCAGTGCCCGAAGACAGATGATGAAGTTCATGACATGTCAAAGGTCCCATATGCTAGTGCAGGGGGGTGTTTGATATATGCTATGGTTTGTACAAGACCAGATTTAGCACAAGCTGTCAGCGTGGTTAGCAAATTTCTTTCAAATCCGGGTCGACAGCATTGGGATGCAGTCAAGTGAATTTTCAGATATTTGATGGGCACTACAGACTATGACATCATGTTTAGCAGACAACAGAGTGACCCTTCAGTTATGAGATACGTGGATACAGACTATGCAGGGGACTTGGATGACAGGAGGTCTACCACAGGTTATGTGTTTACTCTTGTGGGAGGACCTATTTGTTGGAAGTCCATGGTACAGCCTATAGTTGCACTATCTACTACTGAGTCAGATTATATGACAGTAACTGAGGCTGCCAAGGAGGCTTTGTGGCTAACCAGTTTAGTCAAGGAGCTGGGTGCCCATCAAGGTGGAGTTCAATTGCATTGTGACAGTCAGAGTGTCATTTATTTGACAAAGAACCAGGTGTATCATGCGAGGACCAAACATATAGATGTGAGGTTTCATAAGATCATGGAACTGGTTTCTTTTGGTGAACTATTACTTGAGAAAGTTCACACTTCTAAGAATGCAGCAGACATGTTGACAAAGCCTATTACTACAGACAAGTTCAAGCACTGCTTGGATTTGATTAATGTCTCTAGTTGTTAGATGGGAGATGCCTCAACTTAGCGTCTCCGGTGGAGTTCTCGAATACATGTCCCCTTTTTCTTTTTTCCTAAGGGGTGAATATTTGTCAATGTGGAGATTGTTAGAGTATGCGTGGCTAATGTGCAGGTACCATTAGATAGATCGGGCTCACTATAAAGTATTTAACTGAAAGCTAAAACCATTCTGTGATCACCATGCACATGCCTCACACAGTTGCCCTTTCCATAAACCTGATCACCTTCCAAGCAATTAAATGACATAATAGATCATTCCAGTCATCTAGAGAGTCAAATTTTGGTCAATTATAAAGCAGTACTGCACTCAACATTAAAATGAACTGGGAATCTGAAGTTTAAAACTTGTTTCTGTAATTTGCAAGTTTAAAATCATTGTGCAATTAGCATGCAAGAAAAATACGCATCAAGAGACTCTGCTTTGCTGTTGATTTCACTTGACCACAATACTGGATCAGCATTCTTGGGCAAAGAATCCTGCTGCTGAGACATCTCTTGCAGCCACTGCTCTGCTTTATTGCATTCATTGAATACCTGTGAATAAGAACAGGGAAAATACTTGACTGATCAGCTGTCCACTAACATCATAATCATATTCCCATCAGTCCTACAAAAGTTATCATATAAACATTAGGAGAGGGATCGTACTGTTTCTCTCTCACTGGCAGGAAGGGGTCCCACAGCCATCCGATTTTCTACAATGCAATTTAATAAGCCCCTCGTTGCTTGTGCTCGTGCCTCTTCATCTTTATATCTATTTTCAACAGGATCCAATAACTAGAGAAACCAGAAGAAATTACATGTAAGGAGTGGGGAAAAAATTACAAAAAAGGTCAAAAGGCAAGAAGGTCATTACCCAGCTTTGTCCCCATTAGTCAAGGATGCCAGAAGGGCAGGACTAGATCTAATCTTGCACAAAAATTAGCAGTCTTCAAGTTCAAGCTCAAACCCCAAGCATTTTACTCCTAAACTAGAGAATGATCCCTAAACATAACAAAACAAGGGACAAGCAAATTTAAGAAAGTGATGCACACCCTTTTAAGGTCCTCAAGTTTCTCAGTGTAGGCATGCTCAGATTCATCATTTCCGTCCTCATAGAGCCACTCCTCTGTCTGTTGTAGATGCATAGAGATCCCCTCCTATTCTGACTCCGTTGCAAAGCTCCGATATGTATGCAGGAGCTATTCATATGCTTTTGTCATTATCACATCCAAAAATCATGACTTCCAAAAAAAAGCATCTAAATGAACATATGGAATCAGTTATTTACTGTGAAGCTGCCTGTACATTGAAATAGATACAGGTAAAAAGACGTACTGGCAGTGGGCAAAAGCAACAGAATTCTTACAGAATGATGACACTTGAACAAACATCAGGGGATTACACATAATCTAAGAGTAAAAGAAAGAGAAGATAGAAGTAAAATGATAGATTCCTACCCAACTAATAGGGAAAAACATCCCAGAATTTCAAACCAACAGTCATATATTGCTTACACATCAAATTGTTTTACAAGGATCTCTTGCAGACATAAAGCATTATTACATAGGATTGGAAATACAAATTCCCACTACAAATCAAATTTCTTTTCTTCATCATGGATCTCATGGAGAAATAAAGACTTGGAAGGCTATTAGAAACTCTAAACAAAATTCATGGGAAGCACACACGAAAACTATACATCTCCAATTAAAAAACACAAAAAGCAAAAAAAAAAAAAGAAGATTTTTTTCACAACATGTATATTACATGTTTCAAACAGTAAACCAAGCCTTTATGAACGAATTTCATACCACAGGGGCTGGTTTACTGAACTAGGGATAATAATACAACTACTGCCTAAATGTTGAAGCTGTACCTCATTTCGAGTGTCGTCGAAATGAACTATTATGCACACAGCAAATATGAACCACACATACTCTAACACATTCTTTATAACAGTAAGAGTATTCTCATGGTTTAGAAAAAGAAAAGTCATTGTTACAAGACAACTTTGGGCCGTTTCAGAATGAACAGTGGACATGATTTCAATCAAAAGAATTGACATAATATGTGTACTCATTTCCGAAGTTTCCATCATGGTTGGTTGTCTGTGTGTGTGCGACATAGATTTTTAGTGTGCGGAGTATCTCTGATTGCTCTTAGATAAGGACAATTAAACAAATTCAAATGTAAAGACAGAGTAATTTCTCACTGAACTTACAGCGGGTGTAAATGAAGCATCGGAGTGTGCAAAATAAGTATCATCAGCAACCTTTGCTACATCGGAAGACCCAACATTGTCAACCTCCATCTTCTCTGAAGTCAAATGAGAATTGCTCCTTACAGTAGAATCATCCCAGGAATCTTCTATAAGCTGATGCAATGATAGAAATATACGACAAATAGACATTGATCCCAACAAAGTGGCTCAAATTCGGTATATTTTCACAAAACGGAACAACAAATCCATACTAATGAGGCTGAATCTACAGTAACAAATCCATGAAGGTTTAGCTGAACTTTAACTTTGACCTTTGTCTGTTTACTATTGGACACTTGGAATGGGCCAATCTACAGAACTAACAAAAAATCAGCTTAAGTTGGGATGATAAAACAGTTCAAAAAAACCACCTGACAACATAAAAAGTATATAAGATGCTCAAATCCACAAATAAAAAACATCGACCTGAGAAACAAACAAACTTAGATGTAACCTCACAGTGGAATTAGCATTATCTAAACTTTTGAATGATATAATTACACGCACTACAAAAAAGGAAAAATAAGCCATGTAACCAATTCTTTCAAACTAATTCATATTCAACAATGATTCTGGAAAAAGAGGCTCTAGTACTTACATATACAACCTCAAGTAGTTACAAACACTTCAAAAAATAAGTCTTCAGCATTCAGTCTACTAAATTGGGCGAGGCACAGTATCCTACTACTCTAGCATCCTAAGCCTAAAACAGCCTATCCAAACATTCCAAATGGCCAAAAAGATTCAAGTTTTCTAGCATCAAAAGTTCAGGCACATTGATTCCAGCAAAGTGATGCTCAAAGAAAGATATCAATAACAACCTTTAGATGTCTCTGGTTAGGCTCCAAATTGCTTCACTAGTGTTTCTTCAAGCTCATTGTTCCACTCCAAAATTCATCCCTAATATCCTAAGGATTGATTAGTTTAAATTTAGATTCGCATCTCTTATCCAGCATTTTATATCATATACATCCTCTGAAAAAAGATGCACCTATAAAAGTCTATATGCATGAAACTATTCACCTTTACATCTCTAAACCAGTAGTATCTATCCGAAGAAATCTGAGGGAGTGCTGCATCAATAATATTTCAATCATACACGAATTAAAAAAATCCGAAGCACTTCAACATCAATATCAACTCTAATTTAAAAAATGGATTGTAGCATGATTCCTCAAAAAAAAATTATCCGAAATAAAGTTTTTATTAATTAAAAAAAAGATGTAGTGCAGATTCATAAAATATTACCAATGTGAAAAATATGACTTTTCATACCCACAACATCTCTTTGAAGAACCACTTTCTGCTATTCAAGAAACCCCAACCACCAGTATCATAAACATCAGCCAATGAAACTAAATCATAAACTGACCTAAGCAGAGCGAGAGCCTATACAGGATAGAGGATATCCTGCCAACCAAAGGATCCTCCCTTTCTCTGCAGATTACTCAGGAAGATGTTTCTGAAAAGGTGTATACTGGATCTATGCCAATAACTAAGAAACTTAACTTCACATTATTTATTACCATGCCATATTCCTATATGCCATTCTGAAAGAAGGGATGAGAACTCATATTCCAGTGTTGCAATGGGACATAACAGGCACTAAGTGCTAAACCAAGTATTATCTGAAACACTTGAGTCTGGTGAGATTAACATCTTCATTGCAATGGCAGAATGCTGAGGGATTTTTTCCCAATCATTATTTGACCAAGAATGGCCAAACAATCGCCAGCATGTAAACTTCAAGAACAGTATAATATTTCTCACCTCACATCTTGACATCTAGAGGTTTAAGCAAAACAGCCTACTGTAAATAGCAGACGTACCATAAAATTGCTGATTTAGTTGAAGTGTCAGGAGGCAATTCTTTTGGATCAGAGTATAAAACTTCTATATCGAATGTATTACTTCTATGCAATGTAAGCATCTTCAAACTAGGAAATGGATGACTTTTTGGAAACAAAACGCCATTAGACAGCGTGTAAATTGCATCTGCACCTGATGACAATCCTATGGAGAAGGGAAATGAATCCTGAACCTGCAAGTCATGATATGCAAAACAAAAATGAGAAAATAACACTTTAATAGAATTTCCCTCCAAGTGGATGCAAAAGTCTACTGCTCATCAACTTACACGGAGAAAAAAGAAAAAAGAAGAAGAACACACTATGTGCGAAAATATATAATTGACAATCCGCTGTCTCAAGCAAAGTGAAATATTCTATATGCTTCCATGAATAGGTCAAGAGCTCATTACAAAGATTTGAACACATCAGTTCTCAAACATACTCACATCAGCTTCCTACACATCGTCACATAAGTAATTAACCAAGCTAGAGCTTATTGAATGCAAAAGAGATTCATTTGTTTCACAGCATTTGACTAAAAAAGAGGAGAAAGAAGGGTTCAGATCACAAATAAGACAATTAAAAAAAACTACAACAATCATTGATGGACATAAAGGAACTGTAGATCTTGCATTACAATGGCATCATCTATTGATGAAGCTACTATAACTTAGACAACAGCATGTCGTGGAAAAGAGACCCCACTACCCATTTGTAGCAATTTGATGCACAGGGTAACTATGTTTGCCGGTTTGGGTAGAGTACAAAAATTGTATCCCAATTTCATTTAAATTCCAATTCTTGGCACCTATTAGGGGCGTGGCGGACACAAACAAACAAAAGCGTCTTTATGAAAATTGTTAGAGTATGTGTGACTCATATTTATTGTGTGAATAATGACAAGGAGGCAGATGCCGGAGCGGGATTTATATATAGGGGACGCTGATTAGTTGGGGGTACGGGGCAACGCCCCCGCAGTACGGTACAGGGGTATTTTTGTAAATACGTCCATATTAGGGTTATATAAATATTTAAGATGTAACCCTACTTCAATAATAGAAAAGAACGGCCGCTCGCTCTCGTGGATGTAGGCACATTGCCGAACCACGTAAATCTCTGTGTGTTATTTTCTCCTGCTTTCTTAATTGTTTGATTCTTTACTATTCACCATAATTGCTGCACGATCACAAAATCATAGCCTACTCTTGCTTTGTCAATGAGAGCTATGTATTAATGAGAGCAATATATGCCATAATTATTATTTTTCAACAACCTAAGGATTTAAGTTAGAACTCTAAAGGAGGAATTCAAAGCCTCATAGTAAAACACTGAGACAGAGTAAAATAGCAACTGTTGTGGTAAAATAAAGGGGTGGTGCAAAACTTACGGCAAAAAGGTATTAAATTGTAAAAATTTCATTTAATGTCCAGAAATCATATAAGTGAACAAAACATAGAGAAATAATAGTCTTTAAACGCGACATAAACCTTCTTGGATGCCAAGTGCATTCAATTTTATAGTATGTTCCGGAGGCTATCGAAGGAGGTACCAAACTGAAAGGTACAATTGCTAGCTTGGAGTTCCAACTTAAAAGTACTTAGAAGTTCAAAACCAAAAGACAAAGTGCATCGCTCTCAAGGTCATCAATAAAGTAGTTTATTCACTTTTTATAAATGAGTGTTGTGTACTACTAGACTTACTTACCATAACTGCAAAGAAACAATAGTTATATCTATTTATCGATAAGAGATGAGAAATACTAGTCTTTAAATGCGACATAAACCTTCGGAAGCCAAGAATTATCACCCTAGTCCCAAACATCCTCTTTTTCGATTTGTAGTGACTAATCAAAGCCAGAGTGATATCAGGTGCTCTATAATACAACAACGAGGCATTAAATTTGTACATAAAATTGCAGTGAGTTACTTCAATTTGGATACTAAATCAAAGAACAAAATTGAGCAGCACCAATAATAACTTGACTTGTAAGGCAATTAGGCAAATGCCGCAAATCAGTTAAGCTGTCCACAGAAAAGGACCTTGGTTATCCCTTTATTGATAAAAGAGAAATCAAATTGCAAAAGCTTCCCAGTGCGCACTAAACCGAAGGATTTATTATACAGGTTTATGTCCAAAGAAGCATAATTCCAGAAGGATGTCTAAAAAGCAAGCTCAAAAATGTGTGTATATAACATAAATTTTTGATCAGGTTATATAAAACATGAATTTTTGATCGGGTTATACATAACATAAATAGAAAAATAGAGTAGGCAACAAGCCACAGATAATTCAAGAATCAAATCAATAGTACAGCAACAGCAATTTATTAAGATAATTGCTAAAAGAAGCACAAAAGAGAATGCATTTGTGGGAAGAAATAGTCACGTAATCAATAATTGCATGGAAACACAAACCTCATACTTTCTAACACGGAATATTGGGCTCAGCATTGCACACTGAAGAGCACAGCCACGAGCTGCACATTCACTTGCATTTAGTGTCCGGCTGGGTTCTCTATTGAAAAGAGAAGCTAAAATCCTTTTAATAGCTAGTATGCGAGACCCAGACCCCACAAGCTCAACAGAATGAATCTGCCCCACATTTAGACTAGAGTCTTCTGACATGGAATGCTAATCCTTTGCAGCAAATCTGAAGATAGCTTTTCGAACTCCTCTCGATTTATGAATCCCTTAACATCTTTTTCATCCATCAAACACTCAATATGAAGCGGTGCCTCTGGATTCGCACTCAAGACTTTCTTCAGTTTTTCACATGCCTCCCTCAGCCTTTTAGAAGCCCGACCATTAGAGTAAACATCAATATGGTACCGTTCCTTGGACTGCACAGCAAAATGTCTGAACAAAACCTCATCAAAGTCTCTTCCTCCCAAGTCCCTGTCAAAGGCATGGGATAGTATCTTCATTTGTCCAAGTTCAAATGCTGCAACAGCAATCTGAGTATCACAATGACCAATGTCGACAAACACAACGTTGGTTGGTCTTGCACCAGATAAATCATTCTTGTAGATACCATACCCTAGTGCAGTAGCAGTGCAATCATGCATCAATCTCAAAGGCTTCAAGCTAGCAATCTCTGCTGCATTTAAATATGCTCGCCTTTGTAAGTCAGTGAAGTATGAGGGTATACCCATTACACAATCTGAAATGTGGGTCTCACGATTTTTCTCACTGATACGCTTTAGATGTGCTAACAGCATTGCCATCATCTGAACAGGGCTTCAAGTATGTTTTTCATTCAAATACTGTATATGAATCAAAATACCACCATCAAGTCCCTCAGAGGTCTCAAAAGGAAACAGTTTGAGGTCATCTTGGCAACTGGGTTCCTTCAATTGTCTACCAACCAATCTCTTAACCTGGAAGATCGTTGTTTTTAGGTTCATGGTTGCAGATGAAGCGCCAGCTGAGCCCACGAACCTATGTTTCTCACCAACTGACACCACGGCCGGTGTTTCACGGTTTATTCCTCATTCAGCAAAACATCAATGCCACCATGCTTTGCAGCCGCAATAACACAGTTTACGTTTCCGATATCAAATCCAACCACACTCATTTCCAACAAACACTGAGTACGTAAACCCGCAAAATTTTAAGCAAAATAGCCAAACTTGAGCCCAAAATAACCACAGAATCACCGACTATTCAATCCATTTCGGCCATGATTAGCACAAAATTTACCAAATCCAGCACATAAAACCACACAACTTGAACCAAAAAAAAATCCAGTGCCAACAAAATTGACAAAGACACCTATATTCCATGCATTTTGACAAAAAATTAGCACAAAAGCCTGAATACAAAACTCACATCACAAACCAAAGCAAACAAAATTCAATTTCCAGTTCCCACCGAAACACCTGTAATTTATCCTTTTTTCACATTGATCAGTCCATAGAATTCAACGCAAAAGCCCGAAATGGAACTAAACTACCAAAGCTTGACTTGTGATTTCAATAGTGATAATCACTATCTAAATTCTTTGTCCAAACTTGATCATAATCCCTTAAACAAGACACAATTTATTCAACACACACGTACACATACTCATGCATTTATATCTTTCCAAGCAAAATGCAGTGACTGAAAATGTTAAGGAATCGCACGTACCTGGTTAGAGAGAGAGAGAGAGAGAGAGAGAGAGGGAGAGAGAAATGGAGGGGGAATAGGAAGAGAGAGTGGTGTGGCTGAGAGAGAACGTCTCCGAATTGCTTGCGAACTAAAAGCGGACAATTCTCGAAGATCTTGGACGATACCCATTGGTCGGGACGAGAATAATTATAAACCTGTGCCGTACAATGGCTAAAGACGAAGTAAACGTTAGGTGTAACGGTTACACGTCGCTGTTAATGTTTTATAACTACCTAAAAAAATATAAAATAAATAAAATGGCGTCAATTTCTTATTATGAAAATGATTATATAGTATATTATTGGGTGATTATAATTTTTTGTAGGGTCATTTGCAAATTTATTTAATTATTAGTGAACAGTTATATTACGTGACATTATTGATGTGATATAATAATTACATCAAATATTATTTTCCTAAAAACGGGACTCTTTATTAATTTGCACAAATCAATTACATGTATATATTTGTTTTTGGCTTAAAGCATGAAGGATATGAATGATTATTTTGCACAAATCAACTACATATTCTATTCTTTTCCTTTTCCTTTTCCTTTTTTGGTTTAAAGCATGAAGGAGAAAGAAAAATAATAAAGTTTGACTACTAAAATAACATTGAAATCCAAATTAAACCCAATGACCTCTTTCAGGGGTTGAGGAAAGACAAGTCAATTATATTAGAACTAATAATTGTTTGTATTTAAAGGCAAATATTTTTTCATAAATAAAGGTAATATGTAATATAATTTTAATAATATAATAATCAAATTGATATTGTTTAACCTGTATTCCAAACATATATAATCAAACATTTACATAACGAAAGTTACATTGCTGCAACTACTGCAACATATTAATTCAAAAATATGAGAAAATATAATTATTATTGATCAAACATCCACAATTTTAATATTTTTAATAAATTTTATCTCAAATTCAAAAAAAGTATAATTATTTATTTTTCTATAAGTTTCTACTTAAAATTTATAACATTATCTCTGCACCATTTTTCAAATGTGAGTTTGTGTAACTTTTGTGAGGAACACATTCAAAAGTTTTCACGTGAATTCTAATAAATATAAAAAAATTTGTTGAGAAACTAAAATTAGTTTCCATTTGAGTTCAACTTAAATATTTGTAAAATTTAATTGAATTTAAGTTTGGGTGATGCTATTCTCACTCCACAAATTTTTATTTTCACCTCATTTAATTTTTTATTATTAAACTATTAAGTTCACCACTTTTATACACAACTCATTAGTAACTAAGTTCACTTCATGCTACTATTTTAATAAGTAAACTCACCTTATATTTTGTCAGAATTAGGATTTCATTCTCTATTTCATATCATGCACTCACACAAATATTTTTTCAATATAAATTTTTTCAGTGAGATACAGGTTAGTATTACTTCTCAATTTAATTCTATGTTTGATTTCCTGTTTGTTGTATGAATTTTCATTCTATTCTGTATATTTTGATATTTTCTGTTAAGTTTAATAAATTTTTATTTAGAATTTATATGTGTGTGTGTATATACTTTTAGATTATTTATTCTTTTTTTTTTTATCTTGTTTAGGTTTTGCATTTATACTTTTTTTTTTCTTTTCGATTTTGTGTTTGTGTTTGATACTTTTTTTTCATGTCCAATTTCGAGTCTTGTAGTTTTGCGTTTTGTAGTTTGGTTTTCTCCTTTAATCATTGTTTGGTTTTTCCCTTCTTGTTTCGGTTTGTTTCTTTCTTCCTTTTTTTTTCCTTGTTTTATTCTTTTTTTTTTAGAAAGGGTGTATGTAGCATAGGGTAGACTTAGTTAATAATGGGGTGTGTATAAAAAGGGTGGACTTAGTAGTTTGATAATGATAAATTAAATTGGGTGGGAATGGAGATTTGGGGGGTGAGAATAGCCCCCCTTTAAGTTAAGCAAGGATTTATACTTTATACTCGATAGTCAAATTCAACTCAATTTAAGTCTTAATCAAAATTACGTCAAACCAAGAATTGAATTTAAGTTTGATTTAATTAACACTTCTATTTTAAACCTACAAACTAATTCTTATTTATTTTCGTTCACTGATACACCATAACTTTTTTTTAATTTAGTTATTCTTTATTACTTTTACAATCAATTTTAATTTGACTTCAACTTGAATACTTGTAAAATTTAAGAAAAGTTAAGTTTAAATAAGAAAATATATACTTTATACTCAACAATTAAATTTAGCTCAATTTTAATCTTAATCATAATCACTTTGAACCAGTAATCGAATAAAATGAAAGAATTCTTATAATTTTTAGGCGGGAAAAAATTTGGAGGAGGAATTTCGATCGTTTGATCAATAATCTTAAAATAATCTAAGTTGCAAAAAACTCAAAACAAATAATACTATCTCCCTTAGTATATAGATATATCACAAATTACATATATATTATTCATCTATTATACCATTGGAATATTATAATATTTATATTATAGTCATTTAACTTGTTTTAATGCAAAAAATATTTATTTAAGGTCTATTTATTTATTTAAAATTTTTAAAAATAATTTTTAATTAGAATCATAATTAACGACTTAATTAATGTGTAGTATAAATAGAGAAAAATAGAGAATTATAAGAGAGATAGAAGTCTTAGAATTGTGTAATGAATGAAAATCTTGCTCAAAAAATTAGGAGGGGAATTTCGCATTAGGATCGTTAAATCAATATTTTTTCAAGCGATCTGAGCCGCGAAAAGTTAAAGACAAAGAAATCTAGCTATTTTATTATATAGATAGATAAATCTAGATGGTTAAATATAATTAGATAAAAAATTTAAATAGTTAAATATGAATAAAAAGAATATTATATGTGTGATCTTTTAAAAAATAAATGAAGGATAAATGTGATATTTTACGAGGAGATAGTTAAACATAATGAAAGAGAAAGTTACAAATGATTATTATAAATAATCTAGGGGTATTATATGAATAGACACCACAATCTGACTTTCAATTAAATCTCTTAAATATCTCAAAGACATTTTGTGATGGTACAACATGTCTCCTACATTAGATAAAATTCATCTCTACGTATTTGACATTGAATAGCAAAATGATGCTTTTGTCCAACATGGCTTTAAAGTCATAGAGCAAACATAAGTTCTCTGGTTGATTGTTGTCAGGAATAGTCTTGTAATCTCCAATCTCCAATCTCCAATATTTGATACTAAAATGTTGTCGTTGTATTACGTTTATGAATGTAGACTAACTTGTTGAGACAAACGTGTGTTCTATTTTTCTATTTCGTTCCATTTTATTTGTTTATGGCCTTTATTCTTACACAAATCGTGCAAGCTTTTATAGTTTTACAAGTTCAGGACACCCAAAATCCTAACCCTGAACCTGACCCTAACTTGCGTCTCAATCTATTCAACAACCCTGATGATCCTTGTTTATCTTCTCAGATTTTGATTTCTGCCTTGTTTTGCTATTGTCTCCACTAACACTGCTTTAATGGATGCCCAGAGTTACATAACTTGTGCAGAAGAAAAATTCAAGTACAATGATCCTAATAAAGCCATAATGCTCGCAAACATGGCCAAGAATCTCGACCCCAAAAAATCATGGCTTTGAAAAATTTATTGCCGCTTAAAGAGTTCACATAGCAGCCACGAGCAGGAACTCCGGTGGCAACATTGATTGGTATTATGTTCATGGCATTGTCGATTTCAGTGTGGACGTTGAGGTGATCAAGAAGAGTTACAAGAAGTTGACTTTGATGGTTCATCCTAACAAGAACAATTCTATGGCCGCTGAGGGTGGCAATCAAGAAGAGTTACAAGAAGTTTACTCTGATGGTTCAACTTGACAAGAACAGTTCTATGGCCGCTGAGGGTACTTTCAAGCTCATAGGAAAGGCATTGGAGGTGTTATCTGATCCAGAAACAAGGAAATCTCATGACTTTCGAAGAGGAAAGCATCAATCCTACGAGCCTAACACAACTGAAAAGGCTCAATCTTCATCTGCTAACCCACCTCGAACTTCATTTGATGAAGAGGATCGATTTTCACAAGCTACCCCAAATCCAACTCTATACAATGAATAATCTTCATCCGATCAAGAGGAACATGATCAATCTTCATCGGTATGGCCTCAAGGAAAGGAATTCCCTAGATGCTTTAAATGGAGTAAATACGCAAAGAGGAAGCGATCCACCATTAATTGCTCCTGGTGCAGCAAGAGATTTGTTAGTAACATATACATAAATCTCAACCTAAAGAAGTGTCGCAGATGCAAAAAGCCTTGTTCCTTTAATAGTTCCTGTGTAGACTGTAGGTTTGGTTTTTCTGGTGGATACCACAAGGATTGGACAACTGGTTTCAGAGGAAATTTTGGGTAATTAATTTGTCTAGTAGAATCATAGGATCTTGAACTTTATAGTATGAAAATTGTTGAGAAATTATGTCTGTCTTTTCTATTCTTTTCTAGGTACTCAAGAAGTCTTTTTAATGAAGTTCCGGTTTGCGCCTAACAAAAGGTATGGTTAGTTTGTAATGTGGTAGTTGTAAGTGTTGTTTTTCCCAATCCATATCCAAGCTACTAATGTGGAAATTGAAGGAGAGAACACAGGCATGAGCTAACACATTTAAAAATTGTGTTCATAACATGACTTTGTACTAGTTTATGATGCAAATTACAAAATCCTCACAACTAACTTTTCAATATCATATCTATAACTAAATTTTCTTCTACAATTTTACCAACGCATATTCATACAATAAAAGATCTGGATTTCCTCAGGAAAAAGCTTTACCAACTAAGTCACAAGAGCGGCCTAACCAACAGATCCTTCAAGTTTCAATATCATGTGCGGCTTCACTTTAGCACCAAGTTCATCAGGAAGCTCATTGACGACATCCCTGCAAAATTTAGATATTATAGATGTCATAGCTTTTTCATAGTCTGTAAAACCCGAGCATGCATGTATACGAAAAAAAAAATATAGGAAAATATTTTTTTTATATTGCATGTTTTAATAGGTATATAATTATAAAAAAAAATTAGAATTAAATTTTAAAAAAAAAATCAAAGTTGAGTTATTTATGAAAATGTCATTGCATGGCATTTCTTTCTAAGTTGTTGTCTGGCAGTAAAGGAGTTATCCCCAGCCTTCTCCAAACTTTCAGAGTAATTAAGGAGGTGTTTAAGACTGCATCAAATCCAGATCTCTAGATAAGGTAGAACCGTCAAGAGATGAAAGAAGGAGAAGAAAGAAGTTAGAGAAAGAAAATCAAATTTTAGAATTTCAAATTTGTGGAAGAAGTTACTTCGAACAATTAGAGGTACGCTACTAGACTAATTTGAGGATAGGAATCTCCTTGTATAATTAGAATTTCATATCATGTACTACAATTGCTTGAATTCATGTTTTAAATTTTCGGGTTTTAGGTTTTTAAGAAATGGGTTTTGAGTTTGAGGTCATTTTGGTTAAATTGGTTGGCATGACTATGTTGTGGGGAGGTAGAGGAGTACTTTGGTGGTGATATCAAAGCTCGCCATGGTCGGAGGTGGTGGGGTGGTGGTGATGAAGTTTCGGCCATGGTGGGTTTTTTATTTCTTTGGTTTTACGGGTTAAGCTTCGGAGGGAAAGTTATTCCTAGCTAAAATAGACCTTAGGAATCAATTGGTAACCTTATAAATGGATTTAAAAGTTGTTAAAATGGTTAAAATGCAAGTTGCAGCTCTGGCCATAAACTAAAAACCTTATTTTTGGTTTACTTTGACTAGTTTTTTTTATGGGTTTAAGCTTAATTCAAAGCTTGAGAATTATGGGATTTGTTAGAGTGATGTGTGATGAATTCTTAGGTTCAAAAACAAGGTGAAAAGATGTATTGAGTAGGGAGAAATAAGGGTGAGAAGTAGGGGGTTATGGCCGGTGGAAGGAGCCTAAGGTTTTGGTCAAGGTGACCAACGAAGAAGATGATAGAGGAGGAGGTATAGCAGTGCACACCAACAGCGCATGAAGGAGTGTCTGAAATATGATCGACTTCTGGTTGGTTTCAAAAGTTCCTTAATGTCTGTTCGGAGGTCCCGATAAAATTTCAAGTCGATCCGACGCCGGGATCAAAATGAAGATTAAAATGATTGTTTTGGTCTCTGGGGCCAATTTGACCCAATTTTTGGGTGATTTTGGAAAAATAAATTTTATATTCATTCTTAGGTAGGTTATTTGAGTATGTGTATGAAATTTCATTGAAAAATAACATTGTTTTATTTTTGGTTATTTCGGATCGAAAAACAATGCATGATAGAGTTTCTCAATTCCGAATTAGTAGAAATTTTTAAAATTCATTTTGAAATCATTTATTAAATTATTTATGAATTATTAACATATTTTAAAACTTATGATTGATTATTTTGAATTTGGACTGAAAATTAGGGATCTAGATTAGGATTTTGAGTGTTATAACGCATAGTGGTCCGAAATGATGCATTTGACTATATAAAATGAGAGCCCGATTCCTTTTAAACTAATTGTAAGTGCACATAGGTTGAGTGATAATAAGGGTTTACATTCTAATTTGATGTTGTTGAGAATACTCACTGAGTTCGTAAACGCTTGAGGGGTCAATTAGTCTTCGGACTTAGTATTGAAGTTAAATTGTGGTAAATATGTATCGTCATGAAACACATTCCGCTGCATTGATTTGCATTATTTAAGCTATTTTGATTCGATATTCATTTGCATAAATCTATGTGTTAACTGTTAGGGTCAGAGGCTACTACCTCGGTTACACATAGGGATCAACCGTAAAGAAAGAAAGGGTATCTATCATCGGTAAAGGTGAAGTGTATTGCTTCATAATACTTGAAAATAAAAGTATATGATATACCAAATTTATTCTCTTATATGTGAGAAATCAATTTTGTCGAATTGATTTGAGTTGAGTTGCTTAAACTATGGATCAAATATATTTTGTTAAAAACTTGTGACTTATTAAAAAGCTTGTGATTTGAGTAGTATCTACTGTGCTAGAGTTATTGATAGCTTTACATGGCTTATATGTTGTTGATTTGGACCCTGCATAGTTGTCGAGAGACAGCTTAACATTACTTAAATGTTGTAGATAGCTTGACATTACTTAAATGTTGTTGATAGTCTAATATTGCTTAAATGTTGTTGACTTATAGCACATGTGGACTATTTATTATGTTGTTATATTGGCAGAGACTATGAGATTTCAAAGTGAGTTGAAAACACTTTAATTTTGACGTTCTCCTTAGATTGTGAACATATTTTGGTGAAATGATATTTGTCCATATTTTTAATATTTTCATTTATTATGATACATAATACACTCAAGAAAATTATTGATTTTAGGATACCGAGGTCTAGAGTGAGGTCCACTACTGCACTAGCATGGTAGAGATGAGGGAAAAACTGAGGAATCTGGTTATGTATATATTGTACAGGAGAGTCTGTTTTCCTTGTTGTTTGTTGTAAAGGGATGGAATCCCTATTCCTTTATTTTGGCAAAAACAGCACCGTTGTGTACTCGATATATAGTTTTCTGCTTTAATTATGGCGTTAGGTGGTATTATTGATTTTTAAATGCATTACTGCATTATAAATGAATGTAGCGTCACATGTTGAGTTATGCTTTCATTTCTGGAAAACCAAAGAGAGTCTCTCAGGATGGGGTGTGACATAGTCAATTCCTCTCTGTTGGAAGTAGAATAATTTGTATTCACCAGTTTTAGAGGTGGTAGCGTCATGCTCTACGCGGGAAGTGTGGTTCTTCCCTTGTTACAAAATGAGATTCAATAATACGCAACAAACAAGTTCCAACAGAAATTCCGTTTTATAGAAACAATTTCGAGTGGAGCATCTGCCCTTAAGTAGTTGTATTATTTTTAAAAAAAAATTGTCTATGAATTCTTCATTCATTGTTGCATAAAGTCCAAAGACTATAGTACCTTACCTTTTCCTCTTTTTATTTGTTTCCTATTGACCCACAGACACTATAGAAATTTGAGAACAGCCACTTTTGGCAAATATGCCAATACATTTAGATTTAGTATATTGTCTACCATCCCAGAACCCTACATAAGCAAGACTAAACTGGGTAATGGCCTTTTCATTTTCACTGTAGATGTTTCACTTGGAAAACTCATGAACAGAATTCACACTCCACTTACTCTGACACAAAAGTGTAAACAAAACACTACCTTTGCAAATATGAACTCAACCTGAAAATGCAAAGGGCAAACGATATAACAACTCTAATACTCCAAGTAACATTGACTTATGTTTCCAAACTGCCTATAAGACATTAAATGTAAAAGCTATCAAGATTATTGGTGGGATGTAACCCGCTAAAGATGCTGGGATAGGTTAAATGTGTAGGGGACATACTTTCTATCTAGGTAGCTTGTTGATCATGCATGGTTCTCCCAAGACATTCCATGGTCATAATTTTTACCATCAGTTATCAAGGCTGCATGTGAACTAAAAATTTCCCCAAGATTGGATTATTTCTGTCTTTTGTTTGTTACATAACAAAAAATTAATATCACAAAATAATCCCTAATAATCAATGTATTTTGCAACAATGAATACTTGACAGTACTCTAAAGAACTTGGCCCCAAAGATTGGATGGGCAATAGATTGATACAATAATTTAGTTGAACAGTCAAAACATTAACAAAACGAGTCTGTCTAGCATATACACACAGTTCAAAATATATGAATTTGATTCCTATCTTGTCCATTATGCAAATATTGGCTGGAGATATGTAGTGCAATGCTGAAGATGAAGATCAGGGGATAAAACTATTTAAACTAAGTACTTCCTATTTTTAGGGGCCAAGGCAAGGCAGATCATGCCACAGTAGGAATACCACAACCACCTAAACATTACTCAAAATTGAAACCTAAACAAAAAATATAGGCCTAGAATATATACATAACTAGTAAGTTAACCACGATTATATAATTGAACCAAGAAGATAGCCACAAAAATGTTGAATGAGCTACGGTATTTCAAGAATAAGCTACCAAGTATATGACAAGTTTAACAAGAATACCTAAATGTCCGTATAAG